CCCCCACTTTTGTTTCTTCCCCTAACTATCCCTTGTCTTGTGTAATCCAAAGATGCTCTTTGCCTGCATCCTATAATGAGTCCCATACTCCTAGAGGCAGTATCCGTCTGTAAGATGATCTAGAGAGCCTTTCCCTTAACTCATTGTGGTGGTTTTCACCCCAGACAATGGGGCTGATTGCTCTCATGCTCAGGGCAGACTCCAGGCAGGGTATTCTGTCTATGGGATTAGGTTATCTCCTATGAGGTTCCCCACCCATTATTGTCCCTCTGTATTGCTGTTACTGTTCCTCTGTGCTCCACTGTGGGTGGAGTTGAGCCCTTCATCACAGCAATCATCTGCCTGGTTGACCCCTCCTTGGCCTTCCCAGGCCATGCTGGAGAAGCTCCACTTAGCAGTGCCAGCTCCTTGCTGCTGCCCCATGTAACCACTCACAGCTTCTTTCCCATCCTCACTCTGGCCATCACCTTCCACACATAGCTTGGCTGGATAACACTAGCCAGGAGGGACTGCTCAAAGGGAATGGGACAGATTTGTGCATTAAATGGCTTTTTGTCCATTAACACAGAGAGGAAAAACAAGCATGTATTTTCCTAGGGAGTGATTCTTGAGCTTCCTGTCGGTATATATGCATTATACTTGCAGGGATACACATGTGCATGTGGCCATGGTCATCGTGTTCTAAACAGGCTTTCTTACTCAGAGCAGACACCCTTCCATCTGGCTGTTCAGGGTCTTTGGCACCTGCTGTGAGGGTGGTACTTCGTTTCCCCTTTCTTGGTTGCTAATTCAGTGCCAGGACTCTACCCCCTTGTCAGGTAGTGCTAAATACTGTCACAGGGTAGCACTCGCACTGGCTGTGAGCACACTCAAAAGGGGGCATAGTAAAGTGATGAACTCACTTGGGAGTGTGCCAAGAGCTCAGGCAGAGCAAAAGGTGAGAAAGCCGGCAGCTGGACTGTCCTCCTCTGCAAACCGCGCTCACCCTCCTGCCACACCTGCCGCTCCCCAAGTCAGGAGCCATCACAGGCTTTTTATTCTCTTTCTTGCTAACCACCCTCCCCAACTCAGGGTCCCGCTCCCATGCTCTTTCCCCACACTGAATCTCCCACTCCATCTTTCTTATCCTTCCTACTTCTTACACCTGCCTAGCTTCCCTCTCCTCAGCCAAAAAAAGTTGGCAGCCATTGCCAAGCACCTCCCTGAACTGCTGTTTTGCCATGGAGTGAGCATCGTCTGCGGTAGGATCTGGGCCAGACCTGGTGCCATGGGTCCCATGAGACCCACCACAGGCGACAGGCTCAGCTGCAGCTCACTGCTGTGGCTTCTTCCAGTCTGGCGCCTTACATGGCTTTCGTGCACCAGGCACATATTGAGAAAGCAGAGGTCTGAGCTGCACTGGAGTTACTCGAGTTTTTCAGCTCTGGCTCGGCAGCCCCTGTTTTGCAGGGGTCTAGGCGGAATTCACAAATCAGAGCATTTCTCTTCCCACCCATTTTGGTGTCACACACAGCACTGAGCCAGAAAACATCACCCAGCCTGTTTCTCTGGGTCACGTACCCTTCAGAAACAAGTTTGGTTTTCCCTAGTTTAGGGTACTGGCAGAGAAAAGTATATGAGTCCCAGAAGGCTGATTTTCTGCAAACACGGTGCTGTTCATGGATATTACCTTAAAGCAAAGTCCTGAGCACATGCCTGCACCATAGCCAGGGACCTGGGTGGGAGAGGAGGGATGATTTTGGCAGCAGTGGATCTGGCTGGGATAGCAGGCCCTCAGTGGGGAAGGTAGAGCTGGGTGGGAAGCATGCACACTACATTTCAGAGCCAGATGGGAAATAGAGGGGTGCAGAGCTACAGGAGAGTTGGCCCCAGAGCAGAGACCCACGCACAAGGGCCGCCCGGTCCTCCTCCTGGTCACAGCTGCGGTGGGTTGGTAGGAAGGTGGCAGAGATGGCATCCAAGGAAACAGCAGCTGCATGCAGATGCTGAAGTTATTTAGGAGGAAGAAGGGATGAAGAAGGCTTTGGTGTGGCCCAGAGGAGACTTATTAGGGCAGGGAGATTTTTAAGACTAGGAAAAATGAGAGCTGTCCTGCTAGACTGGCATGTGGGGTATGTGCTGGGCATAGCTCAGCCCACGGCTCCAGCCTGGCAGCACAAGCAGAGCTCCGAGACACCCTAACACTTGGCACAGGCAAAGGGACTGTTCCTCTTTGAGGAGGAGGGCTGGTGTTGCAGAAGGTGGCCAGAGAGGAGGCATGGTGCCCAAAGACGAGGAATGCCACGGGCCGGGCTGTGGGGGCTGGAGGGGCAGTGGCATTGGCAGTGTCTTGCTGCGTTTCTGCTGCAGAGGCGGTGCCCGCAGGGCCACCCAGGGAGGGCGACTTGTCCCCAGCAGCCATGTGCCATCACATTCAGCCGACCGGGAGCTGTGCTGGTTGCTATGACAACCGGGACAGGTCATATGACCCGTTCCACTTTCTAAATATAAATGTGTTTCACACAGTGTATGTGACTCCATGGAAACCAAATGTTGAGCAAGAAAGATTGCATAAAAATGAACAAAATACAGAATGACTCAAAGTACTAGAGAGAAAGAGGCTGCGGGTAATGGCGGAGGGGTTCAGAGGTGCCCCAGGCATTCCCCTCTGCAAGGGTGCACGTTGGTGCGGGCATGCCTGTGCCCAGCCTGGGGAGGGTCTGCCAGGCACTTCTCAGTGCTGGTATCTTCATGCCAAACTTGGGATGGACATGAGTGTTGGTGTAGGCATCCCTGCTGCCAAGGTTCTTCTGTGGACTTCTCTCACTAACAATCCTGTTTGCAGCATCAACTGTGTTCAAACACAGACCCCACTTCTTTGACTGCACCATGTCTGCCTTACTTCTGCTTCATACCCTTGGGCAGACACACACCTTTGCCGAGTTAGGTATTTATGAAAACTGCAGTTAGACAGAACATAAACTGAGTAATGTCAGCACAGGGCAAGCTTTTCCCCACAGAACAGCGGGCTGTTCTGGTGCAGGTTCATGTTGTGGCAGTTTTCCCTTGCTGTGTCCTTGCATTGCTTCTTGCAGGGAGTTTCCCCTGCACGTTTTGTCCAGCTTTCTGTCACCAGTGATCCTCCAGCACTGGGCAGGACACTGCAGGGGAGCTGTTTAGCTGGACTCTGTAGCCTTTCTTTGTGCTGCTGGGTCTGCAGCAGAAGTGCAGTGTGACTGAGCAAGAGCAACAGCAGGTAAGACTACTGACACTGCATTTAATTCAAACCTAAGAGGCATCCCCTTCAGTTGCTCCAAGGCTGCATGCTCTGTTGAAATAGGATCATAAAATCATAGAAGAATTTAAATTAGAAGGGACTTCTGGAAGTCTCTGGTCCAACCCCCTGTTTGGAGTTAGATCAGGTTGCTCAGGGCCTGCATTTGTGGTTTTGGAATTGTTTTGTTTTACCTTGGGTTGTGTATTCAGAGAGCCCGTGGGCTGTACTCTGCTGGAGCACAGTGCGAGCACAGCTTCAGGGAGCTCAGGCTTCTAAGCGCACAGATGTTTCCTCCCTAGGATCCCTCTTTGAAGGGGAATGGGGATTTCCTGCAGTTTGAAAATGGGAAGTGATTTTCCTCTGTTGAGCAAGGCTGAACTTGTCTCAAGGGGTCAGTCAGCATGGGATAGACTGATGTGTGCGGGCCCTTCACTCCCTGTTGCCTCACTTTGCTGTGTAAAACCCCTTTTGGCTTTCTTTTTTTCCACCACTGGGAGGGGTTCCCATTGCCAGGTGTTCTTCTAAAGGAATAGGATGAGTTGGGCTACTAACTTGACCAAGAAAAGCGAGAAAGAAAAGAACAAAATAGTCAGGAAGTCAGAAGAGGTGGAGTGGGAGAAGCACCCCCACTGCCTCCCTGCTGGACGTGGTGCCCTTTTTCTGAGCTGGCTCAGTTAGACAGCAAGTGTCAGGGCTTCAACGTGCAGGGCAGAGCTGGTGCTCCTTTTTACATGGAGCATCCAGGATGTCTGATCCAGTTGTCATTCTCTTCAGACATGCTTCTAGACAATCTGTGCTTAACAGTGCACAGATTAAACACTGTTCCTTGGTCAAGAGTGTCATCTCTGGGTAGGTTGTGATGCTGCGGGGTGGCTGTCCTGCCCACACTGGTTGTCCTCCTCTCCCTGGCATCCCTAACCCAATGCCTGTGGATGTGGGGAAAATGGGCCACAGGTAATGGTCAGGTTCATGTGCTCTGCCCTAAAAAGCACATCCTTCTGCCTCTTGTCAGTGCTGATGTCCTGGACTAGGTGGGTTAACCCCATAGATCTTCTCTTAATTCATATGCTTGCCTTTGCTAGCTCTCTGGTGCATGGTTTGGTGCTGAAGAGCTCCAGTGCCTTCTCTGCTTAGAGATGCATTTTGCATTTGCTGCTCATTTCTGGTTCCTTTCTGCTGTGCACATATCAGGAGAATCCTGTCCCTGTGTTTCTCAACACATCAAATCAAAACTATCACTTGTCATGGAGAAAGAGGCCTGTTGGGTGGCTGGCTCTTGTTGACCCCTGCATGTACCCCTGCTATATGGACTTCCGATCCTAGGAAATCTCGTAGGAGGGAAGTGCTTGTGTTCGTGGTTTTGAATGTTTCGAGAGATACTTTGATCCCTTTTCCAGGCAGCAAATACAGATGCAGGAGGATTTCACTGGGGTCACACGTTCTCTGCTCTGCTCACATTGTTTCCTGTTTCCTCAACGGTGTGTTGCAGACATCCTTTTCAGGTCCAGATCTGCCTGTCCACCACCATGCAGCGGCTGGTGACACTCCCAGAAATGACAGTGAGGGGAGTGGCGTGTTTCTCTCAGCTCAAAGGCACTGCCGGAGTTGCAAGACTTGGAAGGCAGACAGGATTCCTAGCCCACCCAGCCCAAGCTTCTGCACCGCTGGGTCAGGGGTTTCAGGGTCCTGTCTTTTTCTCTGATTGGAATAGAGCAGATCTTCTAGAAAGAGGCACTTAATCTTGATGGAGAAACTACAAGAAGTGCACAGCCCCCTGGTAAGCCATTCCAGTCGATACTTATCCTAATGACTGGCAGATTCTTTTCAATCTGAGCCTGTCTAGTTTCAACTTCCAGTCACTGCTGTTCTGTTTTTGTTGGTTCGTAATGCTCTCTGCTGATATTGAAACACCCTCTCCATGTAGACAGTCCTCTGTTGTGAATTGCCATTCTCATAAACTATCCTGGCAATAATTCTAAAAGTAGGAACAAGAGGTCAAAGTAATAGCACAGTCTTGCTGAGTCATCTAAGGAAGAGGTGTGCAAGCAGAAGTGTCTCACTTTTCCTGTGATGTGGCTAGGCACAGGGTGTGTCCTGGTCAGTGCTGGATTTGGGAGAGGTTTGAAGCCTGCCTCGTGGTGCTGCGCCAGCTGTGGCGCTGGGCTCTTGAACACCATCCACTGGCTGCTTCCCATCTCTGTGCTGCCTCCTGGCCCCCTTCTCTGTCTTGCCTCCTCAGCAGGAATGCCTATCATTAGATGCCAGGTTAGCCCAAACTTCTCCCGTATGGGTGTGCAAGAATGGTTCCCGTTTAGCTGTGCTGATGCTAGAGGAAGGGACTACAGAGGGCCTGGCTAGGACAGGGTTGTGTCTGCTAAGAAAAATAGAGTGACAATGTCTCTCCTCTTACTCAGACCTCCTGTTTTGGCAGAGAAGGGAAGATGTACTGCCACTATGGCCTCCATGGCATTCTCATTTCTGAAAGGATGCATGGCTGAGTGTGCCAAAACTATGAGGTACTTAATCTGTGATGCGTTATAGAGCCCAGCCCCATGTGCTACTGCCCCACACCATCTGTGCCAGAGCCTCCTGGTATCTTTGCTTCAATAAGCATAGGGTGGTGAGGAAACCTGGATGAAGCCAAGTTTCATTTCTTCTTCAATTCCTCCCCTGTGCCATTTTCAGTTCCTCTTTCACCCATAGAGTATCAGTTTCGAGCAGAGCTGCTATAGGAGTGGGAGTTCAAGTGTATGTGGGAGTGGATTGCTCTGGGACCAGTTAGGGGCTCTAATACAGAAGTGGTCCCAACACCCAGATGATCTTCCTCTGCAGTCTCCATGGGGGGATAAAGTCCTGCCCAATAGTGAGCTGCTGTTTAGGATCACATTCCTCTGTAAAACAAAAGGATGAGATCCACACATCCATACTCCATGCACATGCAAGCAAACCATTGCCCCATTGTTTACAAGAACTTCTGCATTTGGCAATGCTGGGGTTTCCCTTACATTCAGTCCTCTTGACCATCACTGATAGGGACTACTGCTTGCAACACTTCTTCATTGGCAAAATCGGAAGCAAAGGTAGAAATATTAGTAACTCAAAAATAGAATTGGCAACTGCAAAACATAATGCTTGTGTGCTTTTTTGAAGTGATACGCATTTTGGCAGAGACTATAGCTAAAACATTGACTTAACTTTAGTCTTTAAACTTTTTCCATCCAACATTTGCTGGTATCTGCTCTATACTGTCCACATCTGTCTCTTGGCGTAGCCTTTGTTTAAGAATACAGCCATGGCACCTGTCTGTAAAAGACCTCTGCTTTTCCTGTAGTCCATCAGGGAGACCTGAAGCAACACTGAAAAAGTGACTCAAAGGATGTTGGAGCAATTGCAGAGCTTCCCTTAAGCAAACCTGCGGTATCTGTCCTTGCAGGCTACTGGTGCTGACTGTGTGAAATGAAGTAATACCATGGGCCCCTGAAGTGAGCTGAACCTAGTCTTGACCTACTTGGTACATGGGATACTAGAGGACCATATTAAAAAAGAGGGGTAGTGGGAATGGATAGGACTTCTGTTCCAGAAGAGAAAGAAGGTGTTAAGGACAGAAATACCAAGTGTGCAGTAAAAATGTGTGAAATTCTGTACCTTTTAGATTCTGGAACAGAACCCACGGTTGGATTATCCCAAATACCGCTTTATGGGGTGAACATGCACAGCAGAGATAGTCTGGTGTAACTTTGTTTTCTTCAAGGCCAGAGATCTGTGCAGTGAGTCTAAGGGACCCAACCTGCTGCCAAATTTTTCAAGAGCTGGTACACTCCTACACTCCGGAATTTATTTTTTCTTCAGCATGCTTTTGCAAACAATAATGGGGGACCATTAACCCTGTGATGGAAAGAGTTCAGGAGCTGTCCCAGGATTTGTCCCAGCTCTCTGTGCTATCCCTTGGAATATGCTGGGAGAGAGACCGGTTTTGTGGTTCAAAAAATAGCTTTCTCTTCTGATCTGACCTTCTCTGCGTATGTTACTTGATCCTGAACCTCTGAATGCTTTTTAGCCCTGGCTTTCTCACCAGACCGACCTGTGTTTTGGACAAGGACTATGTATGGGTAAAGTGCAAGGACAGCCCCTCAGGAGGTAGTCCTGGACACAGAAATCAACCAGCATTCTTCTTAGTTGTTATTGTAATTACTGGGGTGACTTCACTGGTCAGACATACTCTTTTCAATAGTTTTTTCTTCCCAGTGTTTCATTACATTAGGTGAAACTGTAGAGAGGGGTGTCTGAGAGAGATGTGAGATGGAAAAGCTCCCCTGCATGGCAGATCACAGGAGCTGAACAGAACCAAAAGGAAGCTTGCACAAAACAGCTTTTCTTTATAAGGTCCATGTGATAAAAGTATGTGTCAGTGCCATACACCAGTCCACTGGTCTGCATCACCTGCACAAGCAACGCAATGCTTCCAGGGACGTCATGCCTGGGAAGCCTGCAGGCTTATTTTCAGTCTTGACTGAGAGTAAAACCAAACAAAAGGATGACGCTGGATATTAGGGCTATTAGGGCAGGTTTCAGGGCTGTGTGAGCAAGTTTCTGGTGGTGCCAGCATGTGGCTGTAAAGAACTGGAAATGAGTACGTGGTTGCTGGAGCCACGTTAGAAGTCGCATTGCATAGTGAAACAAGACACTTCTGTAAACACCCATATCATGTTGGAGAAGAACTCCGATCACCCAACAGTAAAACTGGGATAGCTTAATTTTTCTGTCATGTTTTCATTAGTAGGATGCAAAGCTTTCATGGAAAGCTATATGAAACAGATGTTTTGGTGGCCTGTATGGAGAGGTCCTGCCCCTGTGATCACAGAACAGGCTAGAACCCTAGCTTCACTAAGACAAGAATTTCATTTAGTGCATTTCTAGGCAATAGAATAACACTAACAATAATAAGAACATGTGCCTTTGGGCAGGCTAATGTGTAAGAGAAGTTTTCATTTGCATTGTTAGCTGAGTTCAGCAAAAAAAAAGTAACGCAAACTGTGAAAGCTTCTGCTTTCTCACATGTACAGCAGGGTGAATGGAACTGTAAATTGATTTGATTAAACCTTAGAGAGCAGAAACAGAATAGATGGCAGAGATCCTACTGATTAATTCTGCATACCACCCTGCTAGCCATAGGCATGCAGAGCATGAGATTTGAGTCATACACCTGGTATAGTCCCTTCATATCTCCCAAGCTAAATTGTTCAGTTCATGTTGGGCTAGCTGAGTCTCCCAGTCTGTATTTCTGCTCAAGGAGAGGAACTAAAATCTGAACCAGCATAGGCTCCATCTGTGCTGCAGCGGTCAGGCAGTATTCATCTCACACTGGTCTTGGGTCCATATGGCTGCCTTGCAGCCTGTGACCTGTCTGTGCAAGCACGCTTGTTGAGGCACGAACACAAGATCATTCTCAAGTTCAGTGCCTCTTGAGAGCCATTGTAATCAGAGTTTTCTGAAACTGAAAAGAAACATAAAATAGACTTTTGGCTCCAAAATCGTTAAATGTCCCTTTTATTCTGGGTTGGAAGAGAGTTGGAATTTCACTCAGAGACTGAATGTATAGGAGAAGGACACATCACACAGTTTTCTGATGGTACTGTTCATATGTCTGTCAATGTTTGAACATTATATGCAGCTGGATGCTGAAACTGCCTGTCCCTTGGACATGGCTGTTTGTGAATCTAGTGCAGTCACTTCAGACCTGTCTCCCACCATGTCAGAAGGCATTTCCTGGATAGAGATTAGCTTTCATGGGATAAATAATTCCATTGCACACATTTTTCCTTGTTCTTTTGTTTTTCTTCCTTTGAAGGCAATGCAAACAAACAAACAAAAAATGAGTACATCGCATGCCTGGTTTGCCTTAGGGAATGTGGAAAGGCAAAGCGGAGCTCTCTGGGTGTGAGCCAGGAGGAGGCTGTTGGGTTCATTGCCACACACCTGTAGGGCTGCAACTGGCAATCTTTGGCAATGCATCGTATCTCTACCTTTGCCATATTCAGTGTTCCTGATTGAAAGGATCAGACAGGGTTCATGCCTCCTTTGGTATGAAGCCCTCTTTGCCAGTCTCACATCAAGCAGCTGCTACCAAGGAACCACCAGAGCTACTTGGAAGAGGAAAATAGCCCAGGTGATGCAATGTAGTGTGGGCAATTACTTGCAGCTTCACCTCTTTCTTTTCTTTGCACCCTGAATCTGTACTGAGGCTTGCAACTGAGTTGGTGAAGAGATGTACGGCTGAGGTGGCACTTGAACCCTGATAGCAGTTCTGTGTGTGTCCCTGGAGAGCAGGTGTCAGCATGACGCTCATCTAGTAATCTGAATCCTAATGATCCTCTATCTGGATGATATGGATCCAGATTACATCTAGATCAGTAATGTATGCATTACTAATTACATGCATTATTAGTATATAATCAGCATACTGATAAATTTACTTCAGTACACTACTTGTATAGGTGACATGGCTCTGCAGTGTTTCTTCTTGAAAATGTCTGAAGGTGATGGTGCCCCTGTAAATTAAATCGGGGCAGCACCTCCATGACCAGTGCTTTGACCCACCAGTATATCCACATGAAAGTAAGTGAGTGACAGATGCATGCCTTTCTTTCTCAGACACTTGATTATTTTATGCTTTGCATTTTACTGCTTAATGAGTCATTTTCTTGGACAGGTCCAGGTGCTCATGGGACATCAAATACAGAGGAGTTTCATTTCTCTCCCAAAGGATGTTCTGTGTAGCCAGTGCTCCAAGGGAAGATTGCTTCATGTTCTGGATGAAGCTAGCACAGATGAGGGGAGAAATGGACTGAAAGTCTTTGGGTGTATTGCAGTCTCTAGAATGCCAAACCACATGGTCCCGTTCCAGACGTGTGTCTGGTTAGACTTTACATTGTCTAGATATTGACTTAATAGGTTGGGGTTTTTTTCTTTTCTCAGCAGAAACCCAGAAAGGCAACTCCTCAGACAGGAGAAGATACCTTGAATGGCCATCTTCCCCCTGGCTGGCAGAGCTATATGTCTCCTCAGGGCCGAAGGTACTATGTGAACACCTTCACGAATGGTAAGTGGGGGTGGGGGCTCCAGTAAATGTGTCACCCTAGCAGTGCAGATCTGTTTCAGGAAATTGTCTGTCATGTTGATTTTGATGACAAAGTAGACCCAGAGTCAAAGGAATTAATATGACCCTGCCACCATATGAAAGAAAATAATTACAAGAAGATTTAGTCTTCTGGTCCTCTGTCATCTTAATTCTGGCCATTAGAAGACATCTGAAGCTTTTACAAAAGACAGAGAATGTAAAGTAGAAACACCCCTGCCATAAGTGTTTTAGAATATAAAACACCATTAAGGATATAATTTTTATCACATTCCTTATTTCCTTTCACTTTAGCTGGCAATATATATGTCTGTATATGTACATATATGTAAAGTAGTTTGATAGACTGTCAGGTATCACTAAAGCACTGTTAGGGAAAAACAGAAATAGTTAATTGAAAAGTTGCTCAAGTCAGAGTCAGCTTGCCCTTGGAGACGAGGGAAGAAAAACACATGTAATGGGAAATTAAAGTCAGAATTTTCAGTCTACATTTGTATATTTTACTCACTGTTGTGCTAGTAGAGAAGCAGACAACTCAAGATCTTATCAGCTGCTCAAGACCTGTCAAACTTGTACCACTGCCAGCTTAAGACTCTGTCTACCTGCTTTTCTCATCATGAGCTCACAACAGCATTGCAAAACAGGGACTTGTGGCCAGCAAAACCAGATTTCTTTAGCAGAAAGAATGACAGAATGACAAGGGAAGAGAGGACAGCAGGAGTTCACCTTGTTCACAATGGAGTCAAAGCCATCAGGAATGACCACTGGCATTTCTCTTTCTGACTCACTGTGAGTGCAAGGAGAGCCATGGGCTGTCACAACGCACCTCAGTCATTCAGGGACTGATGTGTTTTATTTCAGAGGCCTTTGGCCTAGAACATGGCCAAGTCATTATGTACCTGAGTTTTATGCACTGACATCTCATAAGATCCTCCAGAAGGCACATTACCATTAAACACTGCCTTCATTTTCAAGCATAGTCAGCTCTGGCTCATGGGCAGCATCCCCTGCATGGCTGGGGAGATCAGTAGGAGTTAGATACCCCATCCCCACTGCAATTCAGGGCTGGGCGAGGAGGTGATTAGACTCAGTCCTGAGCCATCATGGCGATGGACCCTCACTCACATGCACTGGGTTGAGGTCAGATAAACCAATAAGAGGCAGAGCCTGTTTTTTCTGTGATAAAAGCTCTTGTCACAGGAACCCTACTACAGAAAGGTAGATGGCCTGGACTCAGTTTCCTCATAATGTCAGGCAGCTTTTTACTTTCCTCACAAAAGTTACAGGCAATGTAACAAGAGCCAATAGTCACATCCTGCTTGGTAGGTCCAGGTCAGAAATCAGGAAAACGATTTTCTCTAGGAAGGCAGGATAGCGCTGGCACAGGCTGACCAGGGAGGTACTGGAATCTCCATCTTTGGGAGATCTCAGAACCTGTCTAGACAAAGCTGTAGCTGACCTGATCTGTTGTTAGCAGTGATCCTGCTCAGAGTGAGTAGCTGGGCTGGAGACTTCCAGAGGTCACTTCTAACCAGTCTTTCTCAGGAGAATGCCCAAACCACCTATGGTTGTGCTCTCAGCTACTGCAATGGGATTGCTATGCAGCAAGAAATATGGTTCTCAGAATAGCAGAATAAAAGAGAGGGTAGAAGTGGGATTTCTGTGTTCTGGTCCTTGCTTTAGGGAGCACTGATTCAAGTTCTGTTTAGATGAGAAAGCTCCTCACCAGAGTGGTCCTAAGCCCAACTGGCTTTGAAGTTAGGCTTGCTCTTGTTTCTTGTGCTGAACTCAAGTATCATGCATTTCTGAGCCTCCCGCACCTTCCATGGGGGCTATAGCCTTCTGTGAGACAACAGGATTCTCCTGCAGCATGTACAGGGGCACACTGGCCCCTCCACTCCTCCAGCTTAGCTGGTGTTCCTGGCAAGCTCAGTTTCTCTCAGCCTGCTCAGTTAGAATATGCTGCTGCCTGAAAGTCTTCTAGCTGTGTAGATACTGCTTGTTGCCCGTTTATCGGTTTGATGATATTGCTTGGGAGTATTTTTGCTCTAGTTGGGTTATATTGCACTATCAGATTCACATCCCAAATGCCTGTGCTTCCTTAAAGTGGATTATGTGCCAAAAAAGTGTCACCTGTGGTGTCATCTAGGCCTCAGACAAAGCAGAAGCTGAATGCAACCTCCAGGCCTTTCTGTTGAAGTATGCGATGAAGCCTTATCCAGCCCTGGCATGAGCAGCTGTCTGGACACTGTTTTGATTTAATCTGACTAATCGGCTCTGACCTTTGTCCCTGCAAAACTGGTAGTGCAGGACTATCCATAGGCAGATTGTCCAGTCTCCTGTTGAATATGCACTTTCTTCCTTGACTGTGCTGCAAAGTCGGACCTGCTGAGCCATGCAGTCACCATGAAGTTACGTTTGGAATGCAAGGCTTGCTGTTTTAACAGTGGGATTGCACCTTGACACTCAGGAAGTATTCTTTGGCTTTGAGCCATATGATAAGTCAAAGGCAATATGCTATAAAACTGCAGTCCCCATCTTTCCTATGGTAGAGCTGCATTGGTGTGGGTAAGGTTTAGTGCAAGTCTCATAGACTGGACAGCTCACTGACTGCACCTGCTGCCTTGTCTTAGCTGCTTATTTGTCCTGTCATTGCTGCAGCTGCTGTTGGGCGTATCAAGATAAACATTGGCAGTGTTTGTCATGGGGACATGGTGCCAGTATACATCCCTGTCACAGGGTTTCATGGGCCTCCTTCCTGCTTTGCCTCTGTAGCACCGTTGTTTCTGCAGCAGGAGCTAGGTCTCTTCTCTGTCAAGGTCTTATTTGTGTAGATGTACTCCTAGGTCACTCTCTCTTTATCATAGCTATCCCCAGATGATGAAAGTATGCTGGAGCTTTTGAGAGAGATATACTACTGTTTAGTGCACAAACATGGTAACTCAGAGGTCAGTGGAAGCTAGCTGGTTGGCCTTCAGTCTGATCCATCTAGTTAAAGGTCTCCTGCTCACCATTATCCACCAACAGCAGTTGATGGAAAACTCTTGGTTTGTAAGGTCATAACCATTTCTCAGATCTCCCAGGGACCAGTCATCTCTTTACTGAGATGGATGATCAGAAAGTGTTTCAAGAACTCCTCCACATTCTTCACAAATACTCTCAATTTTTTTTCTACCACGGGGAAGTCTGGGTGTTCAGCAGCTTCCACACAGTGACTCACAATGTGGCTGGCTGACTGCATGTTGACTTGCTGTAAAACCACTGTAGGGGGGAGAGCTATTGCTAGAATGTACATCTGGTCTCAGCTGAAAGAGAAGGGACATTGCTAACCCATCAGGGAATACTGTAGACCCTGTGCACATTGCTGTCCCATGGTCTTTCCCCTCTGATTCCACAGCTGAGACTGTCTGAAATGATGATTTTTCTCATGCCCCACACATGCAGCAGGAGACTGTGAAGGGTCAGGGAATACTGCTTTGGGTGCTGATGGCAATAGTGCCTCTCAGGAGAGGCATGAGCACTTCTCTTGCTAGGGCACTGCACATCCTGACGAACTGTACTGATAACTTCTCCTTGCTGGACAGAAGTCCAGCTTCAGTGGGGTTGATGAAATGTAGGCTCTTTTAGAATGTAGCATAGCATGGGAAGTAACAGCTCTGGGATCTGTCCATGCAGCGCAGCAGAATCTAGATGTTGAGTCTGCCTACAAGAGAAAGATGCTGGAGGTTACCCACCCAACTACTTTTGTGTCTGGTCTTAGCCAAATGCCAGCAGTGCTCTACATGTATTAATCCCATATAGGTGGGTGCAACAAGTATACTTGCTAATGTACAGACTATTACAAAATACAAGATTCTGTGTGAGATACATTTCATAGTTAAACATGCCAGTGAGTCACTAGAGGGAAGAAAAGGCAACAAAGTGTTAATCAGTCAGTCAAACAGAGTAGGTGCCACCCATCTGAGGAAGAAATATTTGCATCTCCAAGGGAGTGAAGCAGTCCTTATTTTAATGAAGACAAATGTCCAAACTATCTCCTGGACAAAGAATAACTACTGTGAGATTCAGAGTGAAAGATTAAATCTGTCTGAACCTCCTTCAAAGGGCTTGGGAAGGAGCCTTCCCGGAGCCAAAAAGCTTCTCAGAGCTGTCCAATCAGTGTACATTGTGATACAGACTTTCTCAAGGAGGGCTCTCCTTAACAGATGCAACAAAGCAAAAGGTATGCTTGGAGAAAGGAACTCTGTGTAGCAGCCTGCCAGGAGAAGATAGCAATTCAGAGCGATAAGGGAATGAGAAAGAACTTTCTGGTTATTTTTAGTCTAAGTGGTTTAATCGTGGTTTTCTCTTTTTTTTTCACTTCTGTCTTTCACAAGCATCTGTACGTACTTTGCTGAAATTAGATGTTGTGAATAAAGTATTTTATTAGAATTGTACATTAACATAGCTGCACTGGAAGGTGAGTTTAAGACAACTTAGATAACAGCAAGGCACTGTTCACTGAAGGTTATGGTAGATGTTTCAGCTGGGGGACCTCAGCCAGTATACTGTCTACTCAGCCCTCCAAGGGCGTTCTGCTGCATGGATTAGGTGGAGAGCTGGCACCAAGAGGGGTGGGCCCTCTGACATGCAGCAAAACACCAGGACACATACTTTCCAGGGACCTTGTTACACTGGGCTGCACTGAAAAATGAGTTTTTCTTCTCCATTTGGAGCCTTCTGTCAGAGAGGACTTCAGTTTTCAGTCCCAAAGTGGAAGGAGGTTCTGACTTCAGAGCAGTTTAGGCGTGTCCCTGTGTATGTCTCATGTCTCCTGCTACCAGGATCTACAAAGCTTCCTATTCAACAGGAAGAAACATGAAATTGTCCTTGAAAGGCTCTGTGGTTGCTATCTGTCATTGACCAAAGGTAGGTTCCCTCCCAGGCTCCTCTGAAATGCTCTGCGGAGCTTCCTTCCATTTCCA